ATCCATCTGGGTGAATGTTCTGTGTATTCTTTAAACAAATGTGTATTCTACACTTGTTGGGTGTAGTGCTCTATAAATAGCAGTGAGGTCAAAATGGTTGATAAAGTTCAGATCTTTGACATTCCTCCTGCTTTTTTATTGAGTTGCTCTAGCGTTTACTGAGAGAGTGGTAATGCAATCCCCATCTAAGATTGTGGATTTGTGTATTTCTCCCTTTAGTTCTGTTTTTACTTCATGTATTTTGAAGCTGTTATTAGGTGCTTACACATGTATAATTGTTGAGTTTTCTTTAAATGTCTCTCTTTATCTCTGATGGTATTCTATTTTTGAAGCAGACAGGAAACAAAGCTTGTCAGGTGAGAAGGGCTAGAACCATATAGTGGCAAATATAGTGGCATCAAAGTAGATGGGAGGCATGGGCCAAAACTTGTGACTGACTTCTAGAAAAGGGATGAGTAGGCAAGTTCAATTTCCTAACTCTATTAAAAAATGTCCCCTCAGGCCTGCATTGGTACTTGGAATATACTGATAAGTGCTTTACCCTACAGGACTTTTGGAAAATTGGACTATTTAACAGAATGACATATTTCTTGGGATTAATTAATTTGATTTATATCTATTACCATGCACTACCACCTATGGAAGGGTAGCTCCTTCTCAAGAATTATCTCCTTCCCCTCTGTTAAGTATACTTCCTGGGATACATGGGCAATAAATGAATGAATGAACACCAGGTAACTTTTATGAGAGGGGTGGTAGGCAGCTTTTAATATGTCCCCCAATGATCCTTGCCTCCTGGTATTCATGCCTTTGGGTAGCCCCCTCCCACACTGAGTCAGGCTAACCTATGTGATCAACAGAAAGCTTTGGAACTGATAAAGTGTGACTTTCAAGGCTAGGTGTTAAAAGGCATTGCAGTTCAGTCTTGGAATCTTGTATCATTCGCTCTGGGAGGAATCCAGCCACCATGTCGAGAGGATGCTCAAGTAGCCCCATGGAGAAGTCCACCTGGAAAGGCACTGAGCCTCCTTCCAACTGTCAGCCATGTGAGGGAGCCACCTTGGAAGTGGGTCCTCTGGCTCCAGTCAAGCCTTCAGATGACTGCAGCCCCAGCCAACATGTGACCACAACCTCATGAGAGACCATGCCAGAACTGCTCAGCCAAGCCACTTGAGGATCCTCAACCCACAGAAACCATGAGAGAGAATGAATGATTCATGTTTTAAGCCACTAAGTTTTGGGGAGATTTGTCATGCAGCTACAGGTAACTAATACAAAAGCAAAGATCAGAAACAGAAGGTGCTCCTGGGGGACTTGACAGGATGGACAAGGTAGTCTTCGGGAGGTGGGGGGCGTGAGAGGCATCTTAACGGAGCAGGGTGGAGTAAGGAACCTGTGAAAACCAATTTTCTGTATTTTAATTGTCATTTCATTCAGGATTGGCCCTAAAAAGTTACTACAGATGATCTCTAAAATGTGGGATCAGGAGAATGCTGTGTGATCTACATTCAAAAGACAGGTTTTAAGGCCGGCCCCGTGGCTTAGCGGTTAAGTGCGCGCGCTCCGCTGCTGGCGGCCCGCGTTCGGATCCCGGGCGCGCACCGACACACTGCTTCTCCGGCCACGATGAGGCCGCGTCCCACATACAGCAACTAGAAGGATGTGCAACTATGACACACAACTATCTACTGGGGCTTTGGGGGAAAAAAATAAAATAAATAAAAATTAAAAAAAAAAAAAAGACAGGTTTTAGGTGTGTCATATGGGGTGTTCCGGTAGACAAGTGAGTCTCATTCCATGCTGAGCAAGTGATTGAGCTCCATGCTAAAGATCAGGTTCTGGAAGGGCAACAGCTGTTCTTGCATTAAAAAATGTGTTTTTGAGATGTATTCTATGTCAGACACTGGGATAATTGCTGAGTGAAATAAGCAAGGAGAAATGAGACAGAGATGCGGCCTTCAGGAAGTTTCAAATGTGAGATTGACAAGAAAACAATGCCAACACTATGTGACAAATAATGTGATAAGGCAGGACAAACCCAGGCCAGTAGGAGGCATGGAGGCAGTTAGGGTGGTCCTGCAGGAGGAAGTGACTTTTAATCTGAGTTTTGGAGGATAAATACAATTTGGCTTCTGTCTGGCTGGGAGGGGAGGGACAATGGAGTCTGTGAAGGTCTTGAAAGAAGAGCCCTCTAGACAGCAAGGAAGCATGTTCAAAGACTTGGAAGGTTGTCTACAGGTTCAAGAAACTGCAGGTAGTTCAGAATGACTAGACTATAGGGTAAGGTTGGCAGAGGCCAGCTCCTGCAGGGTCTTGTATCGCCTAGTAGAATTTGGATTTTATCTTTAAAGCACTGAGGAGCAACTGTAGGGTTTTAATCAAGGCCATGACTTATTCAGATCTACATTTGGGAAGGATTCCTCTTGCTAGTGGTGGATGGAACTGAAGGGGACTAGATGGGAGCCAAGAAGAGCACGCTTCAGGCACAGGGGAGAGTCCTAATGAAGTAATGACAGAGGGCAAGGAGGGAAGGGGCTGGGGTTGAGGATGTCCAGAAGCAATGAAGTTTATTATCATTTGGACGCAAGGTAAGAGATATATCAACAATGACTCCTGGGTTTCTGTCTTAGGCAACTGAAGAGACACCTTACTCTTTAATGTGGTCACAGGGAAACAGGCAACATTTTACACATTAGTTTTTTCTTACAGGACTTTTGGAGAAGTATTTAACTGCAATAATATGTTAATAAGTATAATTTTTATGAATTTAAATCTAGTATTTTACCCATCCAGGAAAAGATGGGATCCCTTGGTTAATGTTTTTTGAACGAAGAAAAAGTAATTATTACTACTAAGGCAAGGGATCTGGAAGTGATCTTGTGAGCTCTTGCAATTAAACAGGCCCATAAGAGCTGGGGAAGGAATTAGAAACCACCAGAAAACCTCCATTCATCTATTCAATCAACATTTACTGAGAGCTCTTATTTTGCACAAGACCCTTTGCTAGGAGGTGGAGATATGAAGGTAAAGGACACAGTGCCTGCCCTCCGGGAGTTTACACTCTAACTTGCTCATTATCTTTACTCTAGTGCACTGAAACCTGGAATGCCATTTGCAATTCTGCTCTCAACCTTAAGAAAGTGGCAGATAGTACAGAGTAGCTGTCTAGCTGCTGGTATGATTGTACTCATACAACTTTTCTGGGAAGGCTTTGGCAACAGGCAGCAAGAGCCATAAACATGTTCCTATCTCCCTGATCTGCCTCTGGGAATTTATCTTGAAGAACTATCTGAGATAAGGACAAGGATTTATGTACAGGGATGTTCACTGCTGTTCTAATGAAACAACGGGGAAATGGTAAAATAATTGATGGTACATCCCTATGATGGACTATTAGGTAGTAAATAGAAATAGTATTTTAAAAAAAACTTAATGACGTGGGGGAAAGATCAGGAAAAAAGCAGGATACAGATCTCTACAGAATGTGCTCAAAAATATCCATGATTTAGGTTTTTTATGCCCTCCATATTTTTCAAATTTTTGACATTGCACGTTACAGTATCTCTATAATCAGAACTTTTGTTTTTTTCTTCTTTTCTTTTAGAGACATAATGGCAAAGGAGAAAGCTAGAAAGAGCCAAAATGACCAAGATTTTGGGAATTCTGTTGCATGAAGATTGACCAAAATTAAGTGAAATTCCACATCTTATGTGGCAAGGGGTGAGTAAGATGTCAATAACATTGGCTGCAAAGTATTGAGTGACTACTATGGGCCAAGCACCAAATAGGTTTATTGTCTCTATTTTACAAAGGTAAATAAATGATGTAATTGAGATTCCAACGTAGGTTTGTTTGGTTTCAAATCCTGATCTTTTTTGACTATGTTAAATACAAGCAAATTCAAAAAGGGTAATCATCAATTCACAGGCAAATCCTGCACAGGATTTTCAGCATGTTCAGGGCGTCGGCATGGTACTAGGTGTGGTCTGGGCTGCTGAGAACATTCACAGGGCACACTCCAGTCTTTGCTCCAGGGAGTCTGGCTGTATATCAGAGTCTGTTTGACATCCTCAATATATGATCCTCGTTTATTGCCAGAAACGCTGATGCCTTATGATTTGCATTATGTGTGTACACACCCCCACATACACATCTTCCTTTCTGGTCCTCCTGTTTACCTTAAGAGGAGGCATTTGCTTTCTTGCACCAAAAAAGGGTTGCAGGATGAACATCTGCTCTTTCTAATGGACTACAAGCCCACAAAACTCCCCGAGTTTCTGGATGTCAATGCAGTGCGCACTCTCTCCTCCCTCCACCCTGTTTCCGTGGAGTGCCTAATCCCAAGCATCTCAGGTTGCACTCCCCGTTGAGTTTAAGTGCATCCCACTTTTTCTTCCAGGCTTTAGCCCCCAGCCCCTCCCAGAGGGACAGGCAGGGCCAAGGCCCGCGCGGCCTGACCTTGGGTCATCTTCGGCCGCGGTGTGACCTTGTGCAAGTCCTCGCTTCCCCCTGCGCCGAATCGCGGGGCTGGGTCGGTGTCTCCGCAGGGGCCGCTCCTCATTCGAACAAGGCGGCCCTGCGCCCGCACTCCTTTCTCCCTGGCTTCCTCCGCACACGCCCCCACGGTGCCCACCCCTACGCTCCTGGCGTAGCGGCCCCCTCGAGTCGTGCAGCCCTCTCACTCCAAAGGCTCGTTTACGCCGCGCGGACTGGGAGGGCGCGATTCCCGAACGCGGCCTGCGCTGCGAGCGCGCCGTCGTCCCGCAGGTCGGCGCGGCCTTACGCCGCTGACGCAGCGCGCCCAACATGGCGGCGCGGTCGTTGTCGGGGGTGGCGGCGGCAGAG